CTCCCACTCACCCAGCAGCCCTCCGAAGGTGATGGCTGGGGAGAGGGCGGCGAAGTAGATGAAGATCACGGCAGCCAGGCACTGTGGGTCCAGGGCATCCCGGAAGTCGCTGAGGTACTTGGGGTAGCGTCGGCCGACGTCACGGATCAGGCCCCCGAAGGGGCGGCCTGTGCGCCGGAGGGGGTCTTCGTCCTGCTCCTCGTACACCTTCAGCTTCAGCAGCGCTGGCAGACAGACAGACACGCAGCACAGAGATTACGGGGCATCCCCCAGGGTGGGGCCGGCCGGGGAGGGGGGCAGGCAAGCTGCAATGGGCAGGAGCTGTCCTTCCCCACCCAAACACCCACACACAAATCGGATGGAACAGGGCCATTTCTCAGCCCCGGCTGGGTTTTGCACCCCAGTCAGACACAGGGTGCCGAGGAGGTGGCGGTAGCGACGCAGAGAGAAGCATCGTACAGGAGGAGACCGAAAAGGACGAGGGCAGAGGGAGCCCCCCCCCACGAGCAGCGCCCTCTCTTTCCACTTGCCTTCCTGATCCAAGCCGGTGCCTCCTCACTTCAGCCAAGCGGGAATCCCCTAAATGGCTCACAAGTGAAGGGGCTGCCACCACCAATGCAGCAGCAGCAGGAGACCCCCAAACCGCCACGGCCCCTCTAATCTCACAGCGCATCCTCAGAGGTTCCCCCTGGAAGGCGGCAGGCACGGGCAGGAGGCTGTGGCTGAGCCAGGGCCCTCTGCGGGGTGGATCTGGCCCTTTTGTGGCTCAAGCCCATCTCCAGCGCAAGGGCCACGGAGGGAGGAGGCCCCCGCCCCGCCCCCCCCTACCTTTCTCCTCCGGCGACTTGGGCTCTGCAGCATCACCGGGGAGGAGGCGCCGCTCCTGCTCTTCTCGGCGGCGCAGCATCTCCCGCTGGAAGTGGGCCACGCTCCGCAGGAGCTCCTCGCCTTGCACCTCTGAGGGCGGCAGGACCACACTGCAGTCCAGGAACTCGTTGATGGCCGTGAGCAGGTCCTGCCGGTCGTCCGCCAGGTAGGCGGCCTCGTGGAATTGCTGGGGGAGAAAAGGGGGGGCCAGAGGGGTTGAGATTTGAGGGAGGGTACAGGCTGGGTGGGGAGTGTTACATACAGCACTGATGTTACCTGTCTGTCATGGGTTTGGAGGGAAAGTTCCAGCCTATGGGGAGTGGAAGGCGGGACATCAGGAGGAGGGGCTGTACTGTATATATATGTGGAGCGTGTGTGGAGCCGCTTAGTGAAGCTGTGGCATATCCCAGTAGGTCTGGGTTTGTCACAGGGAGGAGCCCCCCCATTCAGAGCACGGTAGGAGGCCCAGGCCCCGCTGGGGGCCGCCTGCGAGGCCGGAGGGGCAGAGCCTACCTTGTCGGACATGAGGGTGGAGATGGAGCGCCCGATCTCGTGGTAGTCCATGTTGGCGCTGCTCGGCCCCAGCAGCACGAAGAGGAAGCGCACCGGAACGGGGACCTCCAGCACCGCGTCCAGCTGGACCGCCTCCTGCAGCCGCACGAAGGCCATGGTCGGCTGGTCCAGGAACTCCACGGAGCCTGCGGGGGGTGGGGGGTGGAGGAGCGGAGCGTGCGGACACAGAGGGGTCAGCGGGCCAGTCCAGGGGCTCCGATGCCCCTCCCCTCCCTCCGGGCCCCCCTTCCCTTACCCACAAGCACCACCGTGGCCTCCGCGTTGTCCGGGATCTTCTCCAACAACTTCAGCTCGTGCTTCGACTTGGAGCGGATGATGCCCCCCGAGAGGGCTGGCGCCGGGACCTCCCTCTGCAGGGGACGGCCAAGGAGGGGGTGGGAGGGAGAGGAAGGTCAGCCCCACAGATCAATGGGGCCAGCTGCCTTGGCCAGGGCCTGGCACCCCCCGTCCCACTGGGGGTGCA